TTTGTTGGTTTGTTCCTTGGCTTTGAGCTTCTCATCGATGAAAGCCTTAATCCGTTGCTTGAGTTCAGTGTCGGGAACGACCAAATCCATGGTCAGCGGCGCCCGAGTGAACGGATCCGTTTGGTCACTGCAGTCAATGTCAGCAATAATTGAGACAAAAGTACAACAAATAGGGTATAAAATGAGTGAATACCTGAGCAAATGGCGAGCAATGGTGGAGCGATCGATTCTGATGCCAGAGTTGGGCAGAATGACCGGATCAGTCATCAGGCAACTCATCAACGGGTCGGTGAACTCATCGGGCACTTCCTCCATATCGATCTCTCGACGCTTATTGAATTGCAGCACTTTGTCCACCAGTTTGGCTACTTCTTGGGTCTCATTGGACAGGCCTATGAACCCGGACTTAATGAGCACATCGGACGCCAGGGTGAACAGATCGGCCGAATAGGACCTGTCGTCCATACCTACAGCCAAACAGAACTTCCGGCGCTTATCGTTGTCTTCGTTGGCGAGGTTGACATACATGCGGCAGATGTCGTGAACCAAGTCCTTAGGCTTGAACTCGAATTGCTTCAAATCCTTGACCTTTAGGGCCCGGTTTTGTGGGCCAACCAAATGCAGCAGAAAGTAGTTCAACATTGAGGCCATTCGCTCGACAAGTGTTTTGTCGCAGAATATACTCTTAATCTCTTCCGTAATCCAACTCAACGTATGGATGGTATTGCAACCCATGATGTTATGAAAGGTCGCCAAACGGGACGTGTGTTGAAAGTTCTGCTCATTTTGCTCGCGTTGTTGTGCCGGCAGTTTAGCCCACTCTCCGCCGTCCCTCTGGATCTGGAGTTCCTTCAGTTTACTCATGTAAGTGAGCGCCTCATCCAATAGAAAGATGGCGTCATTCATAAGTAAATTAATGAATCGCAAGAAAAGCGGCGGAGAAATGGCTTCCATATTGTTTTGGGCGAAGTCTGCCATCTCTTTCATACGCTTCCTGTGCTCCGCTTTACTCCACAGGTATTTCAAGACAGTATACATAGGCTTCCGGTACCCAAACTTCTGCTCAAACGCCACGTTCACGGTCTCACCCGTCAGTCCATCCGATATCTCAATGCTGACGAACACGTGAATTAACGTCGGAATCAATTCACTCTTCAGCGGGTGGTCTGTGAACAGCTGTTCGCTATTACGACTGCAATGCAAATGACAATCAAATGACGGCAAATGTTTCCAACAAACAGTGCTATGAATGCAAACCTAAGTGAGAAGATGTTGTTGTCGTTCGGTGAAGGCATCAGTGATTCCAACATTTCAGCCAATTTTGCTCTTAAGTGCGGATTCTTGAGTCTGTCTGGAGATCCCATGAATATGATAATCATTGTCATCAATGGTTTCAAATCAATGTTCGGCGAAAGAGTGTTTTTGCCGCCAAAGTGTTTAACAAATGCCACAAAATCGGACACATTTTCTAATATGAATTCGGGAACAGATTTAAGACATTGAGAATCAAGATCACGAGGAAGTGGTAGTGAAAGGGGTTTGAATGCTTTCGAGGCCTCCGTTTCATTGGGATTGAGGGCTAAATTGTTTAACCAAATGGCTGTCGATATGTGAAAGTTAAGAGTCGTCTCCAGAAACTCATTCTCAGCTAACATTGTCTTTAGCGCCAGGAATTGAGTGACACTCTTATCCATTCGTGTTCTTAAGGTCTGAATGGCTTCGGGATCGGACGTCTGGGCAGCCATTTCGTGGTAAATGTTTTGCATTTGATTCAGATCGCGGACTAACTTCAAGAACCTCTCGTGAACCACACGAAAGCCTAAGTGCAGCGACTTATGTGTGGCTACAAAACATTGAGTCATAAAACTGGCCTCAAAATTGTCACCATTTATCTGATCGGCGTCTGAAGGCGTGAGGAAGGGCTCACTGGCGATGGCCTCCAGGTATGGCTTATGTCCGGACCGTTTGAGACGACAATATCGGGCGTCAACTTTCAGCAGCTTATTAGTGACGGGAGGGCCGCAGAAGGGTTTGCAGAGTTTGAGCAAAACTGACGACAAGTTAAGCATAAAGCCATCCGAAGAGTTCTGAGCCCTGCCCGACATCATAATCATCTCATTGGTCCACATGCGGGCCCTGTCTTTGAACGAATCCAAGCACTTCTCGATCCACTCGAGAGTCTGAGTGCGAGTCTCGCGTTGTTTGAGAAGTGATAATAGGATGGAATGGAACCGATTGGTGAGGAGATTGAGCTGAAAACCCAAATTCTTTTCAGTCATTTCGTTCTCCTGTTGTGAATAATTGGATGGATTGAGGAAAAACTCAAAGTCGCGGTTCAGTGACCGCGGAAGACATGATATGCTGAGCAGTAATCCAAACAAAGTGTTTTGATAGACATTTGTCATAATCACCATTTGGTTCGGTGGTGAACACAATTGGATCAATGCTTTCGATGCGTTTGCATTCAATACGAGATAATTCAACACATTTAGAGTTCGGCTCAAAATGGGATCAATTAATGACATTCGTGTTAACCGTTCACACAATGCATCGTATGTTGGCTTCAGAGCCATAGTGGGAGTCGTGTCCTCGTCTTTGGACGCATTCTTGGCTTCAATTCTGTCGAAGACTCGCCCTATAAATGACTGCAAATGTGTTTTGTGGTCGTAGTAGTCGTCGAAGTCCTCCAACAGTTCCAGCAGTTCCGACACTTTGGCGTTAGGGCTGTGGTTGGGGTCGAACTCCGGGTGACAGACAATGAGTGACGACTGGTTTATCACAGTATCTCTCAATTGGATCCTCTGTTGAGTACTAATGAGCGGCGAATCCATTGTCTCGATCTTCTGATAGCATTCATACAAGTAATGCAAAACTCGTTGTTCGCAGTCTTTGGAGGAATACTCGGTCACCAAATGCTTGTCAAACGGATAATCGATTAGACATTCGTTGATATTCGAGACCATCAGCCGTTCGCACAACAGTTGATCCAAATTGTCGAAAGACAACACTCGCGGACCCATCGACTCGTCCTCCAGAGACACGCATTTGAGACTCACTTTGGGGCCATTGGTGTCCACTCTGTCCACAGCAGCGGATCTGTTGGATGTGTTGACGGATATGCGGAATATGGAGACCAACAGCTCATTCATCTTCAGCTGCTTCTCATTGAACGCAACTTTGGGATCACTCTCTTTGACCAAATGGTCGAATGGATTGTCCATCACATGCAAGAGGTGTGAGTCGTATGGAGTATGGGATCAGTTGTCCGCCATAGTGGCCACCAATGAGTCAATCGATGTCTAAATGAGTGCCAATTGACTCGTTTTGACGCAAAACTCATTCAATCAGTGATTCACTCGATATGTGACTCTCAATGACGTATCACTTCTACACTCAAAACAATTCACATATTAAGTGACGCTTTATTGCAAACCAATTGAAATCCATTGAAATCCAATCACTCATTGATTCGTGAAATGAATGCAAGAATTGAATTAATTTTTAAAAATAAACTTTTTATTAATTAATTGAAAACAGATTTTTTTGCGAAACGTATAATAATTATATAAAATAATAATAATATCACAGAAACATCAATAAAATGACTCAAACATTGATTAAAGTTTTTTGTGTCAAAAGGAAATCTGTTAACAATTCGTGTTTTTTCGTATCATTCATGAAATGTTGAGACAATTCTTGAGTCTTAGAATAGATTAGAAGATATTTGACAACCAATGGTCATATGATGTGCGGTTTGGCTAATATATAAGATATATATCCCTGGTATAAATGTTGAGCTGTTGTATGTGGACTTATGAATGTCCAGGTCATAAATAAGTGCTGAACTCAAACTTTAAAACAATATTTCAGATTAAAAATTGTGGCAAAACTTGAAAGAACTGATGGCTATACTCATGGCTCTCGAGTTTTATTTCATTTTTTTTGTTTTTTTTCAAAAATTATAAAAAAATATGTGTTTATAAGGGGTTAACGGGCGGTTGACTTAAACCCCTTTCGTAATGACGGCTTCAAATTTAGTGCTAAAATATGTGGAAATCATTGACTCATTGACTGAAACCAAAGACATTGGATATTCTTGAGGACTGAGAGGAACGCATATTATGAGTGAAAGTGAAGGCGCACTGGACTTTACACACGGAGTCGTTGAGGACATCCTGTCGGGAATGCAATGAAAATAATTCGTTGCAATCACTGATACGAAGTGATTGGCATTTGGCCTAAAAGTACACAGAATTGTAATATTTGACACCATTTTGATGGTAACAATGAATGGCTGACCCCTTCAAAAGTGCAAATGCAGTTAACACACGGAGATATTCTGTCAGCCCTTCCGATGGCCAGAACTCTGTTGTTGACGACACAAGAATTGCCTCTTTCTCTCCATTGAGTCAAATCAATGGATGGCATCGAAGAGCATGGAATCCGAGGATTTCTAGTAAACGGAAATTTAAAGTAAGATTTTGTATAGAATTAAGTTATAAGCAAAGAAATGACAAACAGGAATGAGTCTGGTAAGTCCATGATTTGTCTCTGAATAGTGTCAATACTATCAGAATTATCGCACAGAACCTTAGATAATGTTATTTTTCTAATCTCTGCCAATTGTGGTTCACTGAACCTTAAGAATGGATCTGATGTTTCATACCTTTGGATAAGAGTATTTCAATTAAAACCATATAATACATGCATATACTGAACAGTGGTTATACCAAAATCGATCACATCTTTTTAATTTTTGAAATTGCATTCCTATAATACAGGCAAATGTTGGGCCTATAAGTCCGCCGTGAACTGGAGTTTCTGGTATTCCTCCGGAAAAGATGTCGATATCGTCGACACTCCTGTAATGAGTAAAGTATTAATTATAGCCAATACAGTATAAATACAATTACAATCATTACTCATAAATTCTTTTATATCTCTCGACAATAAATTTTGGTGTTTCGGGCAATAAATCATCAAATTTTTTAGCTTTTGTAAGATTACAGACACTTCGGTATTCATTATACGGTTGGATTCCATGATCTCTCGCTCTTTGCAACTATTGTATTAGAAGTGATATAAATGTTTATTATTAAAAAGTTAGATATTTATCAAAAATGCAAAAGTATCACATTTAATGAGATTAAATCCATTCCCGAAAATGGTTTCTTAAGATCTTCGAGTAAATGATTGGTCACTTCTTCGGTGATCGCGTGGTCTAATGTTTCAACACTTTGTGTTGAGATTCCTCTGATTATGTTATCCATAGCTAAGGCTATTATTTATATTGAATGCCAATTATTAGATAAGTTTTAAAACAAGAATTTGTTATTTTTGAGAATTAAACAAAAGAATACAAACGCGTGTAAAGCATATCTGAGTTGAAGAAAGCACTTCTCAGAGTCAAGGGCTCGTCAACCGGTCTATAATTTCTGTCCAGTCTTTCAAAATGTGGTTTAAGAAGGCTGTGTCCGAACCGGAAGACTGCGGCCGCGAATTCATTGAAAATGGTTGAACTGCACTGACTGTCGTATCCATTATAATAGCCATTTGGCAGAAGTGTTAATCCAAATCTGTTCACATAGTCTCTGCCTATAATTCTGGGCAAAAACTCTCCGTAACTTATTTGCTGAATAATTGCCGACAATATTCTTCTTCCGTTATGGTATAGCTGTTCGTCATTCCAGTGAGGATTCACTTTAGATAAGCCCTCAACGAGTCGGTTATGTTCTCTCATAAACATCGTATGAATGCCTGAAATTCAATATTAATTAATAATTGTCTAAAATCTGAGAGTAATGTAACTGTAAATGACATACTGGCCAGACTGGGCTGTTCGCTGGCTCTCATGTCTCCAGCCATAAAGCAAAGACCTGACGGTGCCTTACACTCTATGTGTGTAGCCGTTTGTGGCAATAAGTCTTTGAAGCCAGCCTTTGGATGTCGGGTTGAATTCAGTTTTCCGCTTTGAAATGTACGCAAACTATTGGCTTCGCATATATCAGAGCCATAGACACCCGAACCTATTGATTCATTTAATGAATGTAGTGTTTGTAATGCTATATCTTATAATCATTTGAGTCGAGTCTAACCGTCCACATAACTGGTCACTTGATTCATCTGTTCGCGCGGCCCAAGAGTTGTCTGACCATTGAGTGAGCGAACAAAATGAAGACATTGTTTGACTCCAGTCGTCGAATTGACTGATGGGAAGAAGGGGTCGTTTTTGGGTATAGGGATCGGCCAACATTCCGGGTGTACACTCTTGCGAGATGTGCAAGACTTGCAGTCAAGGAGTGTATCCCCGGCTCCCATATACATGGGTGTGAAGGTCAAGTCGTGGTCGAGAAACTTGGATTAACCGTGACAGAGATATGTGAGAATTACCGTATATGTAAGACCTTGTAGTTTAGGCTGACATACCTGTCCCCATTGCATTGTTGCTAACGCCTACACCAAACCGTTAATTGAATATATGATTACATAAATAGCTAACGGTGTGAATCACTTACGTATCTGACGTGAGGGGAACTGATGTCGTCGTGAATTGTAGTCGAGATAACTCGTGGCGACGGAAGGCTTTTGCCGGACTTTCCCCGTCTTCGTTGAGATTTGATTCCGTCTTCATATACGGCGGGAAGGATGCGGTCGAAGACTCGCATACTTTTGCCAAACTCTGGATTATTAACGTTATTACAGAAGCCACTGATGGACCGGAAGGGCGACGTGTGATCGCATGGCACCACCGACTCGTAACACTTGGCCAGAGACTTGTGTTCATTACTGATCACCTGATTGTCAATCAATTCAGTCAAATCCATTTGTGGCAACGACTGCACAAAATCCTGAATGTCCTCATTTAGTGAACGACCCAACTCTCGGTCCCTTCCATTCCTTAATAAATTATTTACGATACCATTTGTGGCTAACTCTAAGACAAGTGACTGATTATTAATGATCTGCGCCTGTCTTTTAGGCCTAACAAAGCCCGAGAGTCTGGTCTGAGGGCTGTTAGGAGCGGCCACACCGTTCTTCTTCAGCATGTTCTCGGCCTCCGATTGTCTCAAACTCTGCACTTCTCTTCGGGCTCTTCTCAGTTCCTCTGTTAACATATTTTTATCGATTTTAGACATCGAGTGAATTAATTTGCTGTCAGTTTTCCACTTATTTAAGTCAATGCTATTAATAGTTCCGGTACTGCAGTACTGAAAGGCATTGAGGAATATGTCCGAAGCTATCATAGAGGACGGCTGAACGAAATCGGTTTTGTCGCCGTTGTCGCAGATTATACGCGCCAACGATGTCTTCCGGATCTCATCCAACTGGTCCTTATTGAAGGCAGAGGGAGGCATATCGTTCTCATACCTCAATTTTGTATCAAGGTCATTAAAAAAAATTCAATTTATTTAAAATGATATAAAAAATACCAAAATCTATCGCCGGTTCGAAGAAAATAAAATTGTCGACCGAGTAAACAGGCAAATGTTGGGCCAACCATTGCTCCTGATTTGCAAAGAATAAGCCGTATAAGTTACTAGTATATAAATTACAATTTAATGTTAAGGGTTAAAAGTTATTCTAACCTTTCATTGGTTTTTCAGCCAAACCTCCAGTAAAGAGATCGATGTCGTGAACGGAACTAATATTAAAAGAATTTTGAAAATTAAATATTTAATATTTTTATGAATTAAACATTTTAAATATATTTAACGGACGCATAAAGTTTTGATAATTTTTTAATGGCATCGCTCTTCATAATAGTCGTTAAATCACTAAATTCTTCGACATTTGGCTCTATTTTGCAACCTCTCCTCCATTGTGTATAACCGGGTAATCCGTGATCCCGACCCTAATTAAATGTATTTAGATGTCAGTGTTAGACATCAATTGTTGAAAGACTAATTATGTTAAAACCTGTTGAATGGTAAGTGCAACCAAGTCGAGGGCCTCATTAGATATGATACCATTAATCATTTCATTTGTCACCACTGGATCTGATCCCATGGCATTCTGACTGATCATTCCCATCAGGTATTCATCAAATTTATTATTTCGATATATTTCTGTCGGATCGTAGAAAGAGTCCCCCATTTTAATTGAGCCTAAATTCTGCAATTCCTGTGAATATCTTTCCATATTTGAAGGAATGGCTGTATATATGAAAGCAAATACAGCCGACGCGACCGCGTTATCAACGCTCGGGCTTTGATTAATGGTATAATTATTGTAAAATCCAGTGTTGAGAAGTTGAAGATTATATTTATTCATCATTTGGTGTCCTAATACTGATGGCAAGAATTCATTATAAGTGATGTGTTGTAGTTCTGCGACAACTATTCTTCGAGTTTCTTCGAAAAGCTGTTCATCCGTCCAGTGAGTGTTAATTAGAGCCAAATTTCTAGCGATTCTATTGTGTTCTCTCATGAAAATGGTGTGAATGATAGTTAGACCTAAATTCTCGTTTACCCTAAATTTGTCATAAATTTGTTAATACTGTGCTTTCAATTGTTTAACACATTTATCTGATTACCGAACGTCACCGGCTCTGAAACATCGAGTCCTTCCGGAACTCTTACAGTCCTGAAGGTTGTCGCTCTGGACGGGCAGTAAATCGCGGCCTTTTGTGCCTAATTATGAAAATTATAAATTTTACATTTCTATTATGCCTTTCAATACAATGAATCGTTTGAAATGTAATACAATGCTGTAAAACAACTACAAAAACACACAATGCATGCAATGATGACCTATAATTGAAGATCTCATGAATTTCCCCAAAATGATTGTATTTGAAAAACTTTCAATAATTCATGTTATCTTCGATTAAATTGGAAACCAATAAAAAGTAGTGTTTCGTTCACTTTTCAAAAGTAATACATTTCCTGAAACTATTTCAATATTTATGAAAAGAGTATGCTTTTAATTTATTGCATAATTAACGATATGATTGTTGAATAACTGTTTTTCATAAACTAATAAATGAATGAAAATAACTGATTGTTTCAAATGACAGAATTGTCTTCGACTGACGGATTGAACTAATTTTTAAATTCTGATTGAAATTCAACAAAAGGCATCATATGTTTGCAAAACTATTATTAATTTTTGTAATTTAAATGATAAAAGCGTTGAACTTAATGAGGAAGACCTGCAGAGTTGGCACAACCACTCACTTGAGATGAGTTGTTATTCAACGCTATCCTATCCTCGGGTCAATTGCTTGCTATTGAACTCATTTCTCTTTATTATAACAAACTTTTGGTTTCATTAAGTCTTACATAATGTGTGAAAAAATTATTATTTCAATAAATTCTAAATTAAAACCTCTATTTAAATAAAACATTTAAAAAGTTAAAGTAACAAACGAAATATTGTTTCAAATTTATCAGATAAAATGCATTTAAAAGTTTTGATCTAAAAAGTGTTGAGCAATAAAAACTTTTATTGTCTTTTGAACTAAATTCAATTGAATGATTAAAACACACAATAATAAAGTGTATTATTTGTACGAAATGTCAGTTGAGTATTAAAGCGACAAACATTGCGATTAAATACAACTCTATTAAGGGTTTAATGGTTTAATAAAGTCTTTTCGGTTTTAATTCATAGAGTATTGTATGAAATATTTGCAGAAATGGTAATCAAAGGGAATACAAATGAGTGAAATGCCAGACCTGACTGTTCCTGAGTACTCAGCTCTCCTGCGCTAAACTTCCGCAACGATTGGGATTCTTCTTGAGATGAGCCATAAATTGCTGATCCGTCCAGAAATGAGGTCACCTTTGAGTGACAAATCATATTCAATTCAATTTATTGATCCATACTTTCATCATTTTCATAACTAATAACTAATTGTTTAAAACTAATGGCCCAATTAAAGCATCAATGAATTACTGTATAATAATTATGTCATAAATTTGTTGTTTAAATGATTTTGCAAATTAAGATAAAAACGAAAGTTTTGCTCAATTTTCTAATTTGTAATTAAATTTAGATTATATTTATTTGTGTTATGTCTGAAGAAATCTTTAATCACTGAATGCTTATAAGAGTATATCTGACCCCAAATCTACTTCAAGTTCACAAATAAACACTTTAGAAGTTAAATAACATTTAAAATAACAGTTATTCATGATATAAACGAGCAAAGTATGTATTACTTGATTAATCTGTTCGCGTGGGCCTAACGTACAGCCCGTCCTAATGGCAGTGGAAGAGCGCACGTATTCCATACAATCCTGTCTTAAGTCACTCAGTATTGGGTCATCACTTCTCACACCAATAGGCATACACTCTGGATGTTGAGAACCATTCTTAAGATCACAGCACTTGATTCGATGGCCCTTATGTCCCACAGCCTGTGCCGTGTGCGCCAAGTCGTGGAAAATAAATTCACCGAAAAATGTGGTCACAGTAGTCATATGGGAGTGAATGTTATCACTGCCCATATGTATGGTTAGCGATACTTCACGCGCTGACGGCAAGTGACCGCCGTTTATGGATATTCTTGGTTTATAAATGCCATCCGAATAGTCGGGTGATAAGGTCCTTAGGTATGGGGTATTGGCATTACCCCACTCGGGATTCTGTACATTATTACAGTGTCCAGTATATGACCTATACTTCCCGGGATAACAGGGAAGCGACACAATAGGCTGAAGACATTCCCGTCCAAGAATAGTATTTCTGACATCAATGGTTGGTAATCCATAACTAATTTGGTTGCCATCTAATTTGTATCTAATTTTTAATTATAATTTATTTGTTACTAAAAATAAATTTTTAATTTAATTCATGATTTAATTTCATTACTTATTAACTAATGTTTTGGTGGCCTCTTCGGCAATCAGTGCTAAACGCGAGTAATTTTTGGCAATAATTTTTGTTTTGGCGGACGCGGCTATGAACCAGCCCACAGACCCTGGTGTTTGTATCGCACCTGCAATTAAGTTGTCATTAAATATTGAATAAGCGCTCAATTATTCATTTTGATAATTGTTTGTATGAACCAAAACCACGACTCAAATACATGACAATAATCCACGACTCTATGGCCTAATAATACATAACTATTTGTTCTTCACTTTTCCTCATTCAACGCGAACTGAAGGAAAACTTTTTTCAAATCAAATGTAAATAATTTGAGGCATAAAATAAAATATTTAAACTGTGCTCTTTAAACTTTTTCTTGAAAATCTAATACATTTTTCAAATTTATTGCATTCATCATTATTATTCACTGATTATTATTCAGATCGGAGTTGAATTTATAAAATATTTTCAAAAAAGAGTATTTCAAACGAGACATATAATAAATCATTTCTTATGAATTTTAAATCAATTTATTGCTTATTATTAACATTAATATTTTCAAATCCCTAATTATCTCGAGTTAACATATAATGTGATGGCTTACAAATTAAAAGCTTTTATTTTTACTCTGCTGACATTAATAAAGTTTGTGTTTAAATGGAAATCATTTAATGCATGTATTATTGACATACCATTAGAAAAGATCTGCGGTTCGAGTACTTCTAATCGCTTTCTAACCCTTTCATTGGCGAGAGTCACAGACTTTCTCAGGTCTTCACTCGTAATCTTAGGCATAGAGAAGCGCGGGTAACGGAATTTGGCGCTGATATCCAGATCATACACATTATGACCGATGTTTGAAAACTGGTCCCAATTACAGTTAACATTACATGAAATTGCTTGATATTTGATTACAATAATTATAATGATAATAATCAAATGACATTACATTTGCATCGCTTGGATTCAATTGTCGTCTATATATCCTTAAAGCTCTCTTTGCACGCAATGGTTGTGTCTCTCGTGTATCCGTCGATACATTTATTATAAGAATCAAAAATATAAATACTTTCCAAAACCAATTCATGCGGTTCTGTCTATCGATTCAAATTGAAAAATCATTTATAGATAATTATAATAATTTTTAATTTACAATATAATTTATCATGAGTTATTAAATTAAAGATCTCGTTGGAGTAGAGAGAGAGAGAGAGAGAGAGAGAGAGAGAGAGATTTTAGAGTGCTTTTAATCAATTACATCAAAATTAAGTATTTCAAATTAAATTTTTTAAATTAAAAATCTTATTCTATTGTGAATAAAGCATAAAAAATGATTATTACTATATAAGCACAAGAATGCATAACTGAAGTTCCACTTACAGTACAGTAAAATGCAATAAAAACTTTCACTTACTTGTCAAATTGAATATTCATTTTAGATTTAATTTGAATTTTAGTAGAAATGAAGTGAAATCATCAGATGATTAAAAGTTGTGTTCATTGAATGAAAAACATATTTACAAACGAATACGCATTCAAATGGTATGAAAGTTAATGAAATGATGCGATAAGTGATTGAAAGATATCATGTTTGGCTCATTTCAAGTATAGCCCACTTTAATGAAGTTATTGGAAGATGAGAAAACACACAACAGTTAGACATAACGTGTTTTACAAACTTTTATTATAGTTTATATCACTTATGAGTTCCTGAAAAAACCAACGAAACTGTAGAAAGAGAAAGCGCTTCATTAGTATTGAGATGTTTTGTGGGAAATATAAGCTTTTGATTGCTTTGGCGGCTTTGGCGGACCGGTTTTGGGTGGAACTGTCGGGCAATAAGTTATGACGGCATCCATGTCCTACTAAACTCTAACTGTAAAATTCATGATTTATCCAACCTTTCAAGGAATACACTTCATATCACTATACTATTCATATCTACACTTCTATTAATTGAGTTGTATCTTAAGGTGTTGACAATTTGTCGATTCGCTTATACCTTAGCTTACCATGACTTACCATACCATACAAGTCATAAAACACTTGTTTCAAAGGCATTATTATATGCGATATTTTGTTGAATGAAAACTTCTAAATGTTAAATCACTTGAAAATATTTACTGACATTTGAAAAGTAAAATCAATTCAATTTGAGTTAGCTAGCATGAATTTAATTTATTGTCATTTTCTAATATTTCTTAAGCTGTTTGTTATTATTGTATATTATCTTAGTTTATTGTAAATAAAAATATTTAAATAATTATATATATTAAATGATATAATGAAAAATTATTGACAGCAAATATTAATATTAAATTAATTACTTTCTATTTTTCTTAAATATCATTGCATAATTTTGTTAATTAAAGCATAACTTATAATTAAATTCAAGTATTAATCTATTTCTAAAACTTTCTACATTTATAAAAATTGTTTAAAAGATTTTTAAAAATTTAATAAAGATATTCAGTTAATGAAAAACTTTGCCCAACTTTTAAATAGTTTATTGTTAATTATGTTTTGTGTTTTAAAGTTTACTGCTATTAAATAAATTTGTATTTTTAAAGAGAAAACTTCTAATTTAGTGATAACATTATAAAGGTTATTGTTTTGTACAATAAAATTGTATTTAATATCACTTCAATTGTTATAAAGTATTTCTTTATAACATTTATAATTTTACAAACAAGTAAATGGACTACAATTATTATTATTATTTCCATTGAATTTTATAAACTTATTGAATATTTTAATTTTTTGTAAAAACAAGAAAAATATAAAAAAAACTACATATTTACTATATACAGTACTATAAATTTTTAGTAACAAAATGTATACTTACAGCATTATTTGTTATTATAAATGTTTTCAAGGTTTGATTTATGCTTGAAAACTGAATTAAAATACTATTTTATATCTAAATATTTTATTTTTATTAAAGAACAAGTAAAACTTATTTTATTTATTATTTCCATTAATTAATAATAGATAGACTATAATTAAGCGTTCAATAATTTGGTAAATAACTCATTTTATAACAAATTTGCAACATATTTGTTTGTGAATTACATACAAAAATATACTATAATTGCTGCCTTTAAAAAATCTTTTCTTATTTTTACATCTCAGACAAAATATACAAATTGTTTCTCATATTAAGGCAATCTATTGCGTAAATTACAGACTATTGAGCATCAATTGTCAAGGTTTACACTCTCCCTCCCATTCACTATAATTGTATTTTAAAATAAGATTTTGTTTAGCAGACTGAATAAATTTTCAAAAATATTTTCAACATTGATTTTAACAATTAGTAAATATAAATTTATTATTTATTTTTGGAAAATAAAATAAAGTATAATGTCAATTACAATAGATATAACAAAAATAAATTGTAAACAAATATAATCTTATTATTAATTTATAAATAATTTGTCTCAAAGTTTGTTTCATTGAATAAGAAACAAGAATTTGTTTGAAGGGAATGGTGTTGGGAATAGTATGTCAGAGGTTACCAAATGTCACACTAACTATTCAATACAAATATTATATTTTATGAGTTTATGAATTATAAGAATAGAGAGTAATTACTAATAAAGTTATGTTTATGTGTTTGTGACCCGAATTCCTGTTTATTCAAAATTGGGACAGACTTTCACTAAACTATTGGTGGTCTTGAAGTTACACTAAGTTTTTAAATAAATAAATATATTTTTAATTCAAAATAATTCTCACTCTCTTAAGGAACAGAAAACGATTTTCACTTATATTTTTCAGTGGAGTTTGCCGTGAATTGAGAGACAGCTCTCACTTATTATATAATAAATATTTATTTAACAAATAATTTGTGCAAATATTTGTATACAAATCAAACAATTATTTTGTTGAAATTGGGTTTCGATTGTTATTTTGATTTATTATTTTGGAGATTCTCAGCAAATAATTAGTTTAATATTCAAACTCGTATTCATTTTTTTGTTCATTTTCAGTGAGAGTGTGAAGCAATTGATTAATTTCTGATATCTGAGTGTAATATGTGTTGAATATGTGCTAAAAGTCTAAAATCGAGTCTAAACTGAATCTCATCTCAAATTTGAGACAACTTTCCTTAAAAACAAATCTTGTATTCAAACGAATATATTGTTAAATAATATATTCATTACAAACAATTGGATAATAACTTACACTAATATCTGTCGCTTTCATTCATGTCATAAACTGCAAAAAATTTAGGACTCGTTTGAAATTATTAAAAATATTTATTCACATGAATACAAATTTTAACACAAATATTATAAATAAAACAAATATTTGCTATATTAACAAGAACATACAAGAATAAAAATAAATAATTAACAATTAACAGTAAAATTAATTTGAATGGTCACACCTGACCCCTACCCTCCCACTCACATTAACTTTGATTGTGACATACATATCAAATAAAACACAATTTATTAGACAACTGACTGACAATTAATAAAACAAATAATTTATAGGAATTTAAGCCCAGAATTGAAGTCAAGAATTAAGTCAAGAATTGAATGCAAAGTACAATGAGTTGAGTGACGAGTGATGCCATCTATGGATGCAATGAAGCATTCATTTCATGAAAACGTTTTTACGTTTCGTTTGTTTTGTTGTCTTAAAGAGCAGTGAATTGTGAGACAATTTGTGGTCAAATCTGATCCAAAGGCCTGAACGATGACAACCGCCGCGCGTCCGACCTTTGACCCCGCGAAGGGTGGGTCAGGTAGGGGTGAGAAGAACCTTGGTGCTCTGTCCAAACAGTACTCATCGCGGGATCTGCCCGGACATCTTAAGATGAAATATCGGTATGCATTGCATTGTCTTCACTGTCACCGAGTCTTACAGTTATCTCACATTGCATTGAATGCACAGACAGTCAGGTCAGGGAACCAGTGATGAGCTGAAGGAGAAGGACTTCAAACGAGAACTCGAGGAAAGGGAGAGAATGGCGTTGTCTGAGAGGGACGGCAAACGTGGCGTCGCTTCCAACGCATCCAATAGTGTCTCCATTTCGGGCACGTCTTCGGCCAACCGGTCGACCACTGCCTCCATCTCGTCGTCCAATAAGAAGCAAAGAGTGGAAGCGATCGGTGGAGTGAACGCTAATATAGACGCCGACGAAGTGTTGGACGACTCGGATGACAGCGATTCCTCGGACTCCGAAGACGACACTCAGGAGCTGTTGGCGGAACTGAATCGCATTAAGCGCGAGAGGGCTCAGGAGGACGCCAAACGAGACGCTGAACGCAAAGTCACCGAAGAGAGGATCCGAATGGAGAACATCTTAAGCGGCAATCCTTTACTCAATTCAACGAAAAGCGATTTCAAAGTCAAGAGACGATGGGATGAAGACGTGGTCTTCAAGAACTGCGCGCGAAATGAGGTCGAGTCCAAAGAGAAGCCATTTATTAACGACACTCTGAGGTCGGAATTTCACAAGAAGTTTATGGAGAAATACATCAAATGATTATATCTTTCATTTCATTTCAACTTTTAATACTATTCTTACATTTCTGAGTAAATATTTCATTCAATTATGATTTAATTTCCGTATTTTCGACTTAATTACATATAAATAAAGTGATTTATTATTACAAAATCTTATTAATATTGAACTATAAGTGCGATATACCTGCAATAATACCCATCTCACCTAATATATTACAAATACACGGTATATACGGTACGATTGATGAACTATAGGTGCTCTAACATGCAACTTCTCATACATGAATGCCTCGACTGAATACCACAGATCTATTGATTGGATTCAAACATTGTATTGAATAGAAACTCAAGGGTGTGATCATTGATCAGCCTTTTATGATTCAAGTGATTGTGCGGACAATATCTCGGTTTTGTGTCACTTATGAGTTATGAATATTAGATATCGAAGTTATAAATGAAGTGATGAAATAAGTAATCATTTATTGAATGTCTATTTATTGTTAACTTAAGATTAAAAATAACAACATTTTGATCGTTATTTACAATTTGTTATTTAATCTGAATATTAGATTAATTATAATACAAATCATATTCATATGAAAAGCCGTCGACTTTTAAGTCAAAGATTAAAATTCAATAAAAAGATTTTATAGTCAAATAAAATCTTTTTTACAACAAAATTATATTCAAAACCATTTAACAAATGAAATTCTGAAAATAAACTCCAAATTAAATATTTTAAAAGATTAAAATATTTCAACAAAAAACTTGCGACTAAAATGATTAGTAAAACAAAAACAACATAAAAAATTGTCAATAAATCGAAAAATATTTTTTCAAATCAGAGATTAATTTGTCGATTAATTCCTTGTTTTCCTATAAATAATTGTCTGAAAACTAATTGTTTTTATCGACAAACGATTTCTGGCATAAAAAGTTTTAACAATAATTCATCGAAATCTTTGGCAATAAACTCATTGCGAAATTTATTATATAATTTGTTATAGTATCTAGGACTCATTCGTTAGAAACCAATAAAAATTAAAGTGAATAATTTGTTTCGTTTTGTAAATTAGTTTTCAAAAGACTAGCGTTTAATACATGGTGTGAGTGGTGTTGAAGTGATTAATGTATTAGTGATGAGTAAACACATGTATTAGAGTTGCTCGACATAATTGCCCGGAAAAGTGCCGAAATGGCCCGAAATGGTGGACCGGCCCACAAACCAGCCGTCATCGCAATGCATGGTCACAGTGAGGAGGTCTCCCTGTTGTAGCTCTAACTCATCCATTTGCTGCGGTTTGTAGGGATACAACACTTTATACAACTTAGGCGCAACGTTAGTTCTCATAGCGTGTCGAGAATATGTCGAATCAATTCTTTTGTTAGGAACCGATGAGTTCACATAAACGGGTGATTCAGGCCTTTGTGGGCCCGACAGCTCTGGTGGTGACAGAGACTGAACCGGAGATAGAATCTGATTATTAGGTCGAAGTGCTGTCAATGCAAACGGAAAGCCATTCAAAGCATTAGTCAAAAGCTCTATATTATTGTTACCGTATTTGGATTCAATACTAATAAACATTCAATAAATATTGCATTAAATGGCACTAAATTAAAATTAGTTCACTTTTTATAATCTAATTATAAGCTCTAAGAAAGCAAACATATATCACAATAACAGTGATTATAATTAGTGTAGAAACTCTATGCATGAGTTTATTTATTTAAAGTTTTTCATTCATCTAAAAAACTGTTGTTTTTACATCTGTTTGCCATTAATTCAACATTTTTTAATGCAAATTAAAAATCTCTACTATTTTTGAGGCATTGAATCCAATTGAAAAGACTAACCCAAAGGCTGTTTGATAGCCTCGACATAACTGCAGGGAAATATGCCGACGTCTTGCCTGGCGTTCACTCCTTCATACCAGTTCTCATCCACTCTTCGCAATAGAGTTAACTTTTCGCCCTTTAATTGCATTTCACATCATTTGTTATCATAACTTAGTCTCAAATCGCTTCAAACAAAGAGGACTCACTTTTTTGAACGAAATCTCTACTGGAGTTTTGGCGGCGAAGTCGAACTTGGCTTTGGCTATACCTTCCTGTTCCAGATCGAGGTAAGTACGCGGCACCAGACCCTACACCCAGACATTCAACACAACAGTTTAGAGTACATCTCAAGCGCACAAATCATGTCTCAAACATACAATTAAACCGCTATATGTGTCCTCAACTTCGACCCAATTATGGTCTTTGGGTCTATTAATTAAGACGAGATCTCCTTTCTTTACAGACAACTCGCGAGTGGCCAACGCCTGGAAGTCATATAAAACTCGCCCTAATTTTCGCGATTGAGTCCTATTTTCTGTTTAATGTGAAATAAATGTCACTATTTATAGCTTCGACTGATATTCATATGACAAACCCTTTTCGGCGTATGCCTTATCATATCGATCCAACTGAACGGGTGAATGGGTTGTAGGCGAGTAATGGTGTCTTCGGAGACTATAAGTGTCTTCTTTGCCAGTCCTCTGGTAGTCGGCGTCATAGTAACGGTTCAATGTCTGTACCATTTAAGCAAATATTTAAGTCCAAGTCTAACATTTAATCAATTATTAATATATGGATAACAAATGAGTGTACTTGATCATTGATTCTTCTCTGAAGTTCGTCGCCATTCATGTCATCCATTTTCAATTGATTGATAGGTGTCTTGAAGTGAATGTTGACGTGTTGTTCATCGAACTGATGTTGAGATACTGTGTTTTGAATACAATGTTAGAAAAACTCATTTATTTATCCAAATATAGTTCAAAGGGTTGTCGAATCGATCAATCATTTTATACCTGTAGTCGGCATCTCGAGAGTAAAGTCGATGGGTTTCAGTACTACTTCCTCCCTATTCGACTGATACATAGGCTCTTTGGGGTCACTGAACGGCATAACTAACATCTCTTCACTATTGGTATCGGATAAGTGTCCGAAGGGCTCAACAATTTGTTCATTGGATTCAATGCCTATTTGTTTAGTGCCTAAACTGTCTTGTTTTCGTTGAAGAGTGTCATAAATATAATTGAAATCTTGAGTTATCTGTCTTTGCCAGTCATCGATGGACTGATCAGACAATGGAGGCGGACGTTGTGGAGCAGCGGGTGGACTGAGAACAGTAGCCGCCGAGTAATTTGATCCTGAATAGTTACCCTCAACCTTTTGTGACACTGCATTTGAGGCAAACATTAACATAACTCTATCTATTCATAACTCAATTATAAATATCATTAAAACAGTACTAGTATTCACTGCAAACAACTAAGTCTACAAAACAAGACATTCAATGATTGAGTCAAAACCAAATAAAACAAATATCGATGTCATCTAAAAGTTATATAAATTAAAACATCAGAAAATGCCAAACACAACAAAACTGGTAATCAATTCTCTAAAAATACATTAAATTTAAATCTAAAATCAAATAAAAACTTGTCGTTTGACACTAAAAAATTTCTAATTTAATTAAACATTTCAAATATGATGTAAAATTTTAAACTTTGACTGACTATTTATTAAATGTTTGGATAAAATGTAATATTTAATGAATAATTCAATCCAAGTCTGACAAGAATTTCAATTCAATATATCATT